GTGTGTGTGTGTGTGTGTGTGTGTGTGTGTGTCTGTGTGTGTGTGTGTGTGTGAAAAGAGAAGGCTTGAGGGATGAGGAGGATTCACTTGACGCGAGTTAATGAATTTCACTGTGATGACTTTCAAAAGCTGGATGACCCAGCTGGGATTAACAACCATATACTGGTAATTTTATTCCATGAGAGAGGGAGTGGGGGATAAAAAAAGAGCTGGATGTGGAAAATAATCTCCAGGAGAATGCAAATGTCTGAGTAAAAAAATTACAATTAGCAGCCGGTGAAGAAGAACTCCTGTTTTTTTCAATTTGCCCCCAACTGCTCCAGCTCAGCGTGCAACCACCTTTGTGCCAGTCTTTACCTTGCACCACCGTGTACGACGCTTCGACCGACGACAGGTTGGTGATGACGGTCACGTCGTCGTCTCTGCTCGAGCTCTCGATGTCGATGTTGATGGAGCGCTCGATCTCGCGGTGGAGGCTCGTCACCATGCCCGTTGGGTACGTCACGTTGGTCAGGCGACCCTCGCTGTCGTACCTGGGAGGGTGGAGAAATTGCATCAAAAGTTACCAGGCAGGGATTTGCTACCTTTGTACCTCAAACAACTGCTGGAAAGGAACTGAAGAGGAGGAACTGGTTGTAGTTGTAAAAGCTAACACAAGGGGGCAGTAGTACAACATGTAAAAAATAACTAAAAACATGACACTGTCTGTTTTTCAAGCAGTTTTGAATTTACACTTACTGATAAAATGTGGTCCACCCAGTCTCGTCAGCTTTGGTCGCCAGGAGGCCCGTGTTCCCGTTGTAGCCCATCAGAGCCACCTCCTGACCCATGGCAGACACGCTGCGCAGCCCCCCAGTTGGGTCCAGCCCAAGTGTCACCACCTGGTTCTCGGGCAGCAGCACCAGCCTGAGGAGGCCGGCCCCACCTCCCTGACCTAAGCTGTCTCTCCTCACTTTGACGGTGTTGTTGCAGTTGTCCACCAGCATGGCCAGCTCTCCGTCGGGGCCGTAGGTGAAGTTGTACAGAGGCTCCCCCGTCACTAAGCTGACCGTCTGGACGTGAAGCCCCTCCCCGTTGAAAACATACAGCTCCTGCTCTCTGGGCGACGCCACCTCGTACTGCGCCGACCCCGCGAACCCCACGCTCGAGAGGGCGGGGCCCGGCCGGTTCGCCCGCACCGCCCTGATGCGAATGTTGTTGAGGTCGGCGATGAAAAGCGCGCCGTCGGGGGACACGGACAGGGAGGTCGGGGAGTTCAAGCCGGCGTCGGGGGCGTAGCCGTCGTCCCCGTAGAAGCAGTTGCAGTTSACGTCGTTCTTGCAGTCGCAGTCGGACGCCGTGCCAGCCAGTAGCGAGATTTCGCCATTCGTGCTCACCTTAAAACAAAAGGGAAAACAAAACAACACAAAAGACGGTTATTAAAAAGAGGATGCATCGCCACAAGCAATATTTATTTCGAATCAACTATTGAAATCTGATGGAATATTTTAAAGAGCACAGCTAGAACAAATGAGCTGTCAGCTTTGGTGGCCAGAAATATCTTGAGGAAATCTAATTCCCTCTCAAAAACAACAAGAACCCTAACATATTCCCACAGCACGTACCTGTCTGACTCGATTAATCTTTTTCTCATCCGTCTCGGCAATGTAGAGGGTGCCGGTGTGGGACAGGGCGATGGCGGTGGCGCTCTCCAGGGCTGCGTGTATAGCCAGCTTACTGAGGCTGTAGTCGATGCCTGGGACCTGACAATGCATGGGCCGACCCGCTATAATGCTCACCTACAGGAAACGGCACAAGACACCGGGGATCAAACGAGACTAATGTGGCAAACAGAGATGTAGAAAAGTTAGCGATTTATTAATGAAAATCGCAACTAAAAACTTTCAATAATGAAGTTAGATAATAGAAAGTGGAATTTTCTTGGAGCTAATTAATGGGTGATTTTGTCACCAGTGCAAAACTTGCAGGAATTGAACTTCTTGTGCCTTTAAATTGGCTGGGAAGAGACTAATTGGAAGAAAATCTTGTCAGAACCCTACAGTGAGTGTCCACCCTTAGGGGGTTTGCTGTGGTGATCCAGCCTTGTGTTACAGACCTGGTGGTTCTCAGTGATGCGTAAGATGACATTGTTTTCCAGGACGTAGAGAGAGTTGTCCATGGGGTTCACTGCCAAGTCCGTGGGCCACTCAAGACGCACCTGTGAAACAAAAACAGGAAGGATACACGCGGTCGTAAAGATGCAGGTGGGGATGTTCGGATAAGCCTCTTCGTTTTTTTTTAAATGAAGAGCCTCTATATAAACTTCACCCTGACCCCCTTCTGCCTGGCTCGTTTCCCAACAGTCATCGCAAAAAGCTCAGCACTCCGAGGCGCCCACATCGTCATCTATCACGCCGTCACCTTTTTTTTTACCTTCTCGCCTTACCTGGCTGACGTCCATGCTGGTGTCACAGCTCAGCGGTCGGACGGCYGTCAGGTCGTTGGCGCCCAGCAAAGTGGAGATGATGCCATTCTGGTCCACCTTGCGGATCATGGTGGCATCCACGAAATACATCAGGCCATTTTTATCCACTGCTATACCTGTCGAGCGCAGAGACGAACAGCCTGAGCGACGACTCATAACTCAGACGCCGCGGGCAGMCCACGGACACTTTAAGTCAATTAAACTTCACTCTTTGCCGTCGCCGAAAATAAAAATAAAATAAACGGATGGCGGCTCCGGCAGCTGGATGGCTCAGCACCTCATTGAATGAGGGAGGGGGGGGCTCTGTGATGGAACGGCCGTTGAACTGTTGAGAAGTGTTCGTTTTTGGGAGGGATGAGTCATCGGGATGTGAAGCTGAGGGCAAYTGCAGTGTGCAAGCAGATTATCTAAAAAGGAAAGTGGCTTTTCATACACTTCCTCCTGACCTGCTTTTTCCCCCTTCCGTACATCTTTTTTTTTTCACGACCCGAATGTCCTCTAGCATTTGTTTCTACCATGCTCTATTGTTTACAGAGAGGGGAGGGGAGGTCTGCCTTGTTGGTCTAACAGGGAGCAGACATTCGGAGAAGCGTGAGTGCTCAAAAATAACTACTACTACATGCAGCAGAACACAAAACAACAGACTGAGCAGAAAAAGCAAAGGGCACCGACTAAATGAGGGAAATAGATAAAAAAGAAAAGAAAAAGGTGCAAAGTTGAGGTTTGCTGGCTGACTTTCTGTGCAACAGAAAAGATGGATTTATTTGTCTCAGCAACACACACACACACACACACACACACACACACACACACACACACACACACACTGCAAAGTACTGACATATGCAGTCCTACATTACACACACTCATGTCACCAGCAGGAAATGTTACAGCGTGACATCCTTGACAGTTTGGTGTCACGATGTTCTGAGATCCAGTGATCCATAAAAATAATTTCATTATAAGTTTAATATTAACCTGGTTTATAAAAGCTGCTTCTGTCTCTGTCCTGCTTTAGTTGAGTTGAGATACTACAGAGCTTAATGGAAATTTAAAGCACTGCAAATTTACACGTCTTCTGAAATCGAACGCAAAACCATAATTGCTTGTCAAAACRCTTTCCTAAAGAGTGGATATTGTGTTTGTTTTGTCTTTATTTGACAAGAAATTGGAATTAAGGCATAATAAAAAGATAACTGTAACAGGTCTTACCTTTGGGGCTCATAAGTGTCGCTTCAGTGGCTTTCCCTCCATCACCGCAGCGCTCGTCAAAGGGTAAGCACTGCTCCCCGGTTCCCGCCACCACCTCAGCGTTGTCCGACAACAGCCGGCCGCCCGTCAGCGAGCGGACTCGGTAAATTCGCCGGGAGTTGGTGTCCGAGATGAACAAAGCTCCAGATACTGGATCTACTGCTAGGAAGTACTTATGGGTTGGATTATTACTGAAACGACAAAAAAACAAAATGTCTTTAAAATGACTGAATAACGCACATTTTTAAATTTTTTCACAATTTGAGTATCTTCAGCAGCTTTTAATTTATGCACACAAGTAACTCACCTGTGCCTGAAATCTTTGTTCCTTGAAGAGAGGAAAAGTAGATAAAAGCACAACAAAACAAATGTTAATCCGCACAGCCTGCAGAGAGATACCTACAGAGAGCAAAACAAAGCTGTCTGTGGTGTGAACAACAAAATGTAAACATGTAAAAAAAACACTCTGGAGAAATTGTTTTCAAGTGGAGTTTTAAGTCCCACCATCCCCACTGTCTCCCCTCATTTCTTTTACATCTTTGTTTTTAGCCCATTTTCCACGCTGTTCATTTCCTTATCTCTTATTCTGTCAGTATCTCCACCAATCATGTACATCTATACATACAATATGTATGCATATATGAATGTGTGTATGTATGTGTACACATATAAATGTGTATATATTTTTATTTTTATTATTCTATTTTCGTTAAATAGGGGAATATATACGATTTTTTCTTCTTCTGCTTCCTTTCATTTTATGAGATTTGTGTTTCTTTTTTGTTGTATTGAAATTTTTGTTTTTAATCAAAATGAATGAACTATTAAACTAAACTAAACTAAACTAAACTAAACTAAGTTAGGTCCACAAGAACATTTAACACAAACCCTAAAATACAGAATAACAATTATTACAAGGGAATAAATGCTTAAAACTCTGCAACAATTCAGTTTTGCTTTCCCGCAGCAAACTGTAAACACAAAGAGATTTACATTTTGTGGAGCCAAAAAGTAAGAGTCAATTTTATTTGTATTAACATTTTTTATAAGGAGCAAATCTAAAATAAGAGTTACAAAAGTCTAAATGAGAAGAGATGAAAGAGTGAATAATCCTGTCCAGGTTCGATTTAATTAACAGAGGCCTGAATTTAGAGACATTTCTCAGTTGATAAAAACAGTTTGTAAGTAAATATCATGCCTGGCTGTCCAGAGCAGGGTCGGCTCTGGTCCAATGAGACACCAGGGTTTCTGAGACTGGACTGGGAAGAGGAGTYCAGAGAACYGAGGTGTTTTATTTAAATAAATACATAAATCATTAACGGTGGTCCGACACTAACTCCACTGTGTCACGCCCTCAGTGTGAGAAAGGACCCATCATTAGAAATGAATGTGTGAGACATTAGGTGTTGTTCTTTCCCACAGCCTCAGGTGCATTAAATGGACACACACATGCACAGACACACACACCTCCACTGGCAACGCTAACAGAAATCTGTCCCTGAAACAACCTTCCCCATGTGAGAACCACACCTGCTGGCTTGCTGACAAACATCGGTTTAATTATAATCTTTTTTTTCTTGCAGCTCAGGTGAACCTGGAGTCTTTTGAGGACTTGTTTCATTCTGTAGCAGCACAACAAGGATATTTTGTTACCCGGCCCCTGTGGACAMCGGAGACGAGGGGGGGCCTCAGGGACCTGACATGAAAGATGCTCTCCAGGAAATATTGAAGCTTGAACTTTCATTAAAAAANATTTGTGGTTCTTTTTTGTTGTATTGAAATTTTTGTTTTTAATCAAAATGAATAAACTATCAAACTATAAACTATAACAATCGAACCTCTGCCGGCCAAACTGACGTCTAATACGTTATGGTGGGGCATAATCGTTGGAGCATCCTTTACATATTCGTACATTAATCTTCTGTTTTTGTCATGATCTTCAGTTCATTATTTCTGCAGTAGCTTTGGAAAAACACATTAAAACGTCCAATTTGATTGGGAACAGTGTGATCTGACTTTTGGTAAGAGGACGTCACATGTCATGAAAAAAAAAACCTTAGTGAAAGTTTGCTAAAATTTTCCACACAGACAATGTTGATCTTGGGCTAAACAGGTGGGGGAAAAAACTAAGCTAACATAACTGAACAAATATCGTGATAATTGTTTTCTGTTTGTACACAATAAAAGTTCAGGTTTTGTGTTTTTTTAGGATGGCAGCCTGTTACCACAACACATCAGTGAGTAAAACCCTTACTTTTACTTTTAATAGTATTTCTGTATTTTTTATTTCACATTTAGTCAGTCATACACTTAGGACTTTTCAGTGTTATATGAGAACATGTAAAAACACTGTTTCTATGCAGGAAATACCACGTAGAGCTCAGCTATTGTTTGTTACCTGTGCTCAACCATAGCAATGAGATGTTTCATGTTTAGTCAAAGTTAAACATGAAAAGTTAATTACAACAGGCCCTTTGAGGGTCACCACAATGCTCATGTGGCCGTCTGTGAAAAATGAGTTTGACACCCTTGTAAAAATATTTACATTTTTTTATACTTAGATTATTAACAAAGTAAGTCCCAAATTATTATTGAATTATATAGAAATAAGTTGATGTAAATTGGAATTTTAGGCAGTAACCACACAAGCAGTCCTTATAAATAAATTCAAATCAGTTACGTGTTTTACCTTAACTCCAGGATGCCCGTTGTGTTCATGGAGGGGTAGACCCGGCGTACAAAGTTGAGGTCACCAACGTAAAGGCTTCCATCGATGCCCATCGCCAGTGCAACCGGCGCCAGCAGCTTGTTTCCGTCTGCAAGGCCGTTGCAGCTTGGGCATGAAATGCTGCGCCTGCGCCCATTTCCCATGATGCTCGTGATCACCGGAGGCTGCTCCGTCACGAAGACGTTCTCACCGCTGCCTTTGTGAAGGATGCCTGGAACAACAAACAAGTCTTTATTCTAGAGGAGCTTTTTGGAACAGTTTCCACACACCGACCAACATGAAGATCCTGGATTACTTCATGAAAAAGGTGCCACCCTAATTACCACCACTAACCCTAATCTTTGCATTATTTGCCTGCTGCATCCTAAATGCACAAAAGAACGTTACTGCAGATCCTTCCTCCCATCAGCTGTTACTCTATAACCATCAATGCTCCCAACAATCATGATAAGCATCCATGTTTGTGTTTGCACATCAAACAACTACCTCTCAAGCATTACATAAATAATAACCAGTGGCAATTGTACATCATTTTTCTGGTATTGGAACACTGACTTAATGACTGAGTTTGACCCAGTTTGCACACCCCCTCAGATCACGAGTCTGTCATGACTGTTTTTTTTCTTCTGGAATTACATATTTTTCTGCACAGTATCTTGCTTTTATTTTCATTTTGATCTTGATAGTTCATCTTGATAGTCCAGTACAGTAATTAATACTTATTTTTATTTTAATCCATGTTTATTTTTATTGTTACTATCTTTAATTATATTATTATTGCTACAGTTGATAATGTCACACAGCAATATACGGTTTCTGTAGATTGATGTATGTATCTGCTGCTGCTACTACACCTGAATTTCCCCATGCGGGACAATAAAGGCTGTTTCTATTCTATTCTATTCTATTCTATTCTATTCTATTCTATTCTATTCTATTCTATTCTATTCTATTCTATTCTATTCTATTCTACTAGTTGATGCTGATTGGCTGATGCACGGGTTCAGTTAACAAAGGAGTTGAACTCGGCGAGACAACACTTCCTGTAAAACAATCCTTGCTGACAGGTAAAGCAAGTGCCTGACAGCCTAATGTGAACCACAGGAAGCGCTGTGTGGTCTAAACGCCCTCCCTGCGAGCCCCCCCTTTGACAATGGCACATTAAGTGAGATACACAGTGCGGAAACCTGCAACACATGGGGAACTGGCTAAATATAAACTGGAGAGTAAAGCTGAGGAAAACCGTCTGCAAAGTCTATGCTCAATTGTGGGTTTAAAAAAAAATCAAGGTGTGTACATTAAACTTACCGCTGCGAGTGTTGAGTATGTGGTGTTTGTCGAGCGACCACCCGCCCAAACTGGTGGGATCCAATTCGTAGCCCTGCAGAATGGTCGTCCTCTTTTCCCAGAGGATTAGACTCGCACACGACTCGTATTCGTAACCCACCGACACTAAATGTGGAAATAGACAGAGCCAAAAAAAAAGACAACAATTAGCACTACATATTATTAAGAAATTGTTTTTAAAAAGCTATGAAAGAAACAAAAAAGATTATGGCAAACTTCATTAGATCAAACTGCTTCAAGTTCATTTCAGCAGCAAAACGTGTGATACACAAAAAAAGCTAGTTAGCACCTGTACCCCAACCTGCACTCACACCTAACTAACACGCTGTCATGCTGCTAAATCGATCAAAAACCTTGTTAATTGGAAAGATTGCCCCTGTAGGCTTAAAAAAACACAAAAAACCTGGAGGCCAGGCTGGCTGCTGCGGTGAAAAAGGCTGCTGGTGGAAACATTACGTCCAAATCAGGCACATGTGCTGGCAGAGTCTCTGCTCATTTGAATACAAGCTGTGCACGTATTTAAAAAAATTAATAAAATAACAAGCCTGAGATCGGATAAAAACAATTAGACTGTTTATAGAAGATGTGTACATTTGTGGGTTCTTGCGCTCAACGGAAATGTGCGCTAACACATCAACTCTCGCTTGATTCACAGCAAGAGTGCAACTTCCAGCACATTCTCCAGGTTCACCACCAACAACAGTAACGTCAGATACCAGTATTTGTACAATAGATTGAAAAAAAACCCCTATATGTTATCTTGAGTAAATGTTAAAAAAAAGATGGCGGTTACTCTGGGGAACACTAGGGATCTTTGAGTGAATGTAGTTTCCCAAACAGCATACCCCTCGTGACTTCAGTCCTTGCCGAAGCCCCAGATGACCGCTGAGTCTGAGGTTTGACAGCAGCGTTTGGCTGACAGCATCTGTGAGYGACTGTGACAGCAGAATGTAATAGCACCGAGGCTCCCGTGGACTCCTGCTTGCTGCTCCAGTAGTTAACTGCTAACTCACCCTGATGGTTAATAACCCTTCACCACAGTTACGGCTGGCTGACTGAACTAAATGCAGCTTCGATGTAAAAGAAGATTTWAAAAAAAGAAAAAAGGCACCATRCTGTGSCCATACCGCTGCACTCCAAGCCATATTTCTGGTGTATTATCTCTCCTTCAGGCTTCCTAATTAGCTTCACTCCCTCTGTCATAGCCGGTGCCCCCTTCATGTTAAATTGTTTAATGTATTCAGCGAGTGCCGGGGAGGGAAACTGTCGGAACGCCCCACTCACCAACAGCTTCCGAGAGGCCGTAGACCCTCTGCCCGTATGCGTCTGTCTTATCCCAGATGTAGGTGTAGGCCAGGTTTGGGGAGGCGTGGAACCACTTCTGGAAGAGGTGGCCCTCCACTGCCACCATCAGGTGGACCTTCAGCAGGCCCATGGGCACCACAGCGGGAGTCATGGTCACCTTGAGAAGGGAGCGGTAGCCCTGGGTCCGCGAACTTAGGTAGCACAGCTTTAGACTCGTGCCAGGCACCTCGATCTGCTCATGCAGCACCTGGAAGACAAAGAGAGCGGCAGAGAGGGATTAGGGGGATTAGAGAGAGTGGGAGTAATGGGGGTCGCGCTTCCAGTGATGGCTGAAGGACAAGGAAAAAAAAAAACAAGGGATGAAATAAAGAAATTGGAAAGAGGCAAGGAATGAGAGGGAAGCTATGGAAGCGGAGGGCAAGTGGGGGGTGGGGAAGAGGGGCTACAAAAGACGGGCGTACAGGAGAGAGAGAAGCAAGAGTGCAAAGGTACCGGGAGGAGGAGGATTAGCCGGCTGCCAGAGGTCAGCGGTACCGCACCTGTGTCTCCGGTATGATGGGTTTCTCCCCTGGCTTGGAGCTGAAGAAGGAGGAGAGAGGGGATGCAATCACAAGAGGGTCAGGCCTGACGAAGCCACTCAGGTCACAGCCTGGGATCGTGTTTTCTTCTGTCTTAAGCACCAGAGTGTCCATAGCATAAAACTGGCTCCAGGGCAGCCACACGGTGCGCTCCTGGCTCAGGAAGGGGGCACGCTCGAACCGCAGAGTCAGTGATGCGCCACCGTTAGCTATCAGGTCAAACCTGGAGAGGTTTGTGAAAACAGGATGGGAATGAGGTACAGATGGGGAGTGTGAGCTTAAACTGTGCCAGAGCTTCCTCTTCTTCCTGTATTATTTACTGCTTTAGGAACGAAGTAACAAACCACCTGCAACGAATGCTTCAACATTATGGTTAATGAAACTAAAAAAAAAACAAGTAGGAAAAAGGACATTAGTTTGTTCTGAAATATCAATACTTTAGGTTAGAACACACGGCTTCAGAACAGAAGGTTTATTAGAGTAAACAGCTGTGGGTTAATGATTAGCAGGTCACACACACGTTCAGCTTCAGAGAAACGGCCAGAGCTCTGGAAGTGTCCGGAGCTGCCCAGGTGCCGAGAGCATCTAACATTTGGGAGGAAACAGCACCCAGTGAGACAAAAAACAATGCCACACAGAGACAACGGACAGTGTGCATTCAAGTCACAAGTCCGTGAAACTAATAAACTGCCTCTGAAACACAAGGTCCGCAAAGTGTTACCAGAAGCTCAAAATGTTTCTGTAAGAAAAACGCTGCAGGGAGAAAAGAGAGAAAGGGGG